TTGTCACTATTTACTCACAATTTATTGACATACATAAAACCCTCAAACTCATTAGTGTGCCTGCTACCTTGACATTCACAAAGTCTTAACTATTCTAGATTCTAGATGTTCATTGTTTATCAGTTAAACAAACGCTCCCACAAATCTTAATTCTTGTACATAGTTAATGCATATCTGATAGAATGCTTTATTGTTTAGTAGCTTTGTCGAGTGTTAATCGAAATCAATTGTTTTGCGGCAATAAGTCATATGTTAGATATTAATTGAGACTATTACAGTCGCACTCGTATATCTCAGCTGTGGGCTATTAAAACAGTTTATATATTATCTACTGTCGCTGAGGCTGGCATTGAAATCGTTAGGCCGTGCAAAGCCACGAGCAAGATTTTAATATTAAAATTTTATTATTTAAATAATTTACGTGTCGCTAAAAGCCGTGCAATATTTTCATGACAAATTACTAATGCTATAATTTCCTCTTTAGTGCACATCAGACAAAATGATAATGAGGATAGATTCGGAATATTCAATAAAAAAAATCTACCTTAAGCACATCATTCAGTTTTACAAATATCTCGTCTACTAGCAGTACGTCCAGCCGATCTGCATCCCGGCTGATCCTATTTTAATAGAGCGCCCGGCAGACAAGCTCCCAGCCGCTTACCGGCAAATCCCGCAGAATCCGCACAGAGTCCTTGCGCCACTTAGTGTCAGACGAACTATCTTTTATGTTTACCGGGAATTTCCCGTAACACCTAACTAGTTCATATGACTTCATTAAAACAGACTCGCGTTCAGTTGCAATAACGTCCATTAAGGTTCAATTACGCCTTTAAGCTCTACTTAAAGTTAAATTTGTATGGGTAATGTTGCTCTAAACTACGAAAATTTAAATGGATATTTGTGCAACTTTAGCGTGGGAGTAAATTTACGCTGAGAATGCTTAAAATTCATATTATTAAACAGAGACTTAGCGATGGCTACCCTAGTACGAAGTGCTACGGAAGTAATATTTACTCCTAGAAGGTATTAAGTTCGCTTATTCTGTATAATATGAATTTGGACTAATACTAAAATTGTAATTTTATCGTAAATTTACTCGGACGCTAAACCTTGTTTATTAAATATTACTGTATGAGAGTAAATAACTTTTTGATAATATGTCAGTAATTTTACAGCTATTTATATATTAATATTATCTGTAATATGCTGTTAGATATTTCATAATTATTGATCAAAATATGAGTAATTATTTAATTATTAATCACAATAGTCTGCAGAAAGTTCCAAAAGAAACTTTTTTAAAGTAACGTAGTCACTAGAAACAGTAAATCTGCAGTTTAGATTTCGATATTAGTTACCATATTTCCCGATCTCTTGAGGAAATATGGCAAATGTCGGCAGGCTCGAATGATAGTTTAAAAAAACCTTCCATATAAATTTAGTTAATGAAGTTATAAAATTTGACTTATCACGAGTCACGACACGACAAATACGTACTCTTCATAGAAATGTATCTTAAAGGCTTATTCACCAGCATCCGAGAAGAAAAGCATGAATGCAAAACATCAGCGAGCTGGCACCTTTTATACACAGCTGTCCAAGTGTCCACCATTTATTACACACATTTAAATGGGAATTAATCTGGCATTGTGCGTCGAAGCGAGTTCAATGTTAATATTTCGCATCGTATTGGCAATGTACTCGCACTAAGAGGTTTGATTCATTAGCTTGAGGGGAACGACCTGCAGATAAAGGAGCTGCATCCCTCAATTCGTTCCAAGGATGCACCATCGCTGAGCTGCGCGCTAACGAGTCAACGGCACACAATGATCCCACGTCATCGCTACGACTGACCGAGTGTCAACTGTGAAACATTCAGTATGTTAAAATCTCGCTCCATCATCTAGTCAGATGGCAATTGTACGAAAAACGGTAACCCACATAGACTGAAAAAACTACACAGGAATGGATTCGGCCTCGATTCCTCGTCTGAATAAACCATTCACGATTTGTCTTCCTTAAACAGGTAGATTTTTAAAACGAGGAAATTGTTATTCATGCAAATCAAAGTTTACACGAGCTGAAAATGAATCCTAAATACGATTCTCATAAATAAATGAAGTGGGTGCCTCTAGTCTACATGATCAAAAACAACACGATATAGAACGTTCTTTTAGGGACCAGTAAGTTATCTACTAAATTACACTGTATTTTATACTACTACCATTGCTTGATTTTTTAAACGCCAACGTGATAGAATAAACCAAAAGGAACAGACACAATAAAAATCTATAAAAACTAGTTGCCGGTAGATCAGAAACTGACTTCAAGAGTACAATTATTTCACTAACAAGTTAATAATGCACTCGCCCATACTGGCGGACTGTCTTGACAGTAACATGTATATACCATTTTTTTATTATTTAAATGTATGTACCACTCTTATAACAAGCAGAGTTTTGTTTCCTAATTCATTAATCAACCGTTAAACTTGGAAGCGTCATTAAAGAGGTCGACATTCAGAAATTTTCCACGATTTGTATTCCGTCTGGAGAATTCGCCTTGTCGGATCCCGTACTTCGGATGCAGGCTATTTTAAATGTAAAGACGGCGCATTGCATAATCACCAACGTGATTCGCTATCAGTATTCGGCACTTAATATTTATTTCCTTCGGTTTTTACGATACTTTTTTTTCCGTATCGTCGTAAAAAATGTTCTAGATATTGTTTATTTTATACAACATGATACGTTTAGTCTAAATTGTGGGGTTGATTTATTCACCTAGCGACCTCTTTTGCTAAAAACGTCAGGGAGGAGCAAATTGTCGAAACATTATATTTATAGTTACAGAATAATTTGTTTCTTTTCCTGTATAACTTTTCAGTATGACGACAACTCTATCGTGTTCTATTTTTTGTAACTAACTTGTTCTGACATTCATCTTTTGAAGTATTCAATCTGCATACAAACCTTCAAAGTTGCTGATTGTTTATTACAGATGGAATATAACAACCAATTAATCAGACTAATTTTATTATTTAACGCTATGATATACGTAATGTGGAATGGGAAACTTTAAACATTAATTTGATATAATCTTTTATGACCACACAATGAGTCGTCGTTCATAAACTTGTGAAGTATGTAGATAGATAGTAAATTCAACTTTGAATTTAGTAAACGAAACGATAGTTTTGACTTGAACAACTATCACTCTATTAATGCAATGTTGTGATTTCACTCTTTATCTATAGGTACTAATGTAAAGAGATAAAGTTTCTAATTTTGTTAAGTAATCTTCGGAAATACTGAGCTATAATTTGTGTAAGTGAGGAACAGCTACTTCTATATAAAAACAAAATAGTTTCTATTAAAATTACTACATAACATTATTATTGTAAATGAGAGGATATAATATAAGAAAAGATAATTACACAAACAAAATTATACAAACCAAAGTACGCAGCTAACTTACATGACAGCAAAAGACAAAAGGCAAAGAAAAAAGAAGAATAACATCTCAACGAAAGTCTTATAAAAATATCTCACGGGCCTGTTAGCCAGTTTTTAAAACTATTAACAAAAACCTTAGCTAATTATTTAAATAAAAATATCTGTCGAGTTAACCTTCAGAATTTAAAATGACCTTATACGGTAATTACATTTTAGCTGAAGATATAAGAATTTGATAGTGGGAATAATTAAATTTTAATTTAAAGTTTTAATAATAACACGCCAGTGTGTGAAGTTCCAATGGGTCTCTAAATATCGTACAGAAGAAGCCGACACGCCGGGCTTGAATGACGGTTCGATTTGCCGTGACGATTGTTTCAACTACCGGTTTTAGATAATTATTTGGGTTCCTCGATCCAAAGTAAAAACTCCACAAACGTATGGACTAGCTGTTTTTCCGTTAATTCGGCCAAGTAAATTATAGCCTATGTCACCCTGACTTGTATAACATTTATCTATAGTGGATGAAAGAAATAATAGAATTTTTAAATTGGTTCAGTAGTTTCGTTGCCTATACGATGTAAATCAATTCTTTTCTCTTTCTAGTATTAGTATTCGTCCGGTTGACAATTTACTATTTCCTTAGAACCAATAGAAGAAATCTTTAAACTTATTTTTTTATTATTTTTAAAACAAACAAACGTTGACTTGTCAAATTGTATTTTAAAAATATACCGGTCGGATGGATCACAACAGTATTATACACAGTTCTTGAGAAGTCACGTTTACTAATAGAATAACAAAGTTGGCTTATTAACATCTCTATGTTTAACACGGATATTTTGTTACCGTTATACTATTTCACAATATATTTCTGTGTACGTACAGAACCGTCTTCGGATCTATAGATTTTAGCCTCTTCCGATTTTTAATATAAAGACACATCTTGTATTAATTAAGTCGGTCTGATGAGTTTGCGTCCAGCCACCGTCCGCTCATCATTACCTCATGTAGAGGCGAGAGGTTTTTTTTTAATTCGTCATTATGCTGTGGCGTAAAGAAATGTTAATTCGAGTCAGCGTGAAATTAACAGCGGCCGTAGTCTTTGTAGGGCCGCGGCGGCTGGCTTAAACACACAACGGGTGACGAGCAACCAGCTCTTTCATATTATACTCTCTTATTTGCACCTCGATTAGTCTTTTTATATAGTTTCATTAGGAACACCTAAGCTCATCAATTTATATATTCGTATTATGCTTGGAGTCGACCTTCCCTTTAATCATACTAATACGCAACGTCCTACGTTCACGATTACATTGTAGTGCTGCTGTTCTTTTACTAAATCGGCCATTATTGCTGTATTTTTATATGAAATTAGCCTTACAAACCAGAAAAATATATATATAATTCTGAAAAATATTATTAATAATCTTCAGGCTTATGTTCAACGGCTATGTTGTACAGTCATTCCTGGACAACTGAATTGAAAATAATACCTTATTCGAGTTTAAATGAACTATACACCATCTTTTCTCTTTATAGTGGTATCGAGTTGACAAGAGCCGTTTGGACCCCGATCTGAAGTCAAAATTTGTTCAGCTAAACGCCGACGAGGAGACCAAAGAGTTCCTCTCGTCGTCCATAGAGAAGTCTACGTGGGTTTGGACCCAGCTGTGGTATCTACTAGCGAAAGCGGTGCTGAAACACTTCTGGTCTGTCACCGACATCAATGGGTGAGTTTCTCTGCTATCAAAGCTAAAAGATGACTATGTAAGGAGATTGAGAGGCGTATATTGTTTTAATTTTTGGTGTGACATGCCTGTTTCTGTCGTGGATGTCTCCCACAAAGAACATCTTCTTCATAAATTCGTTATGAAGAAGATGTCCTTTATGGGAGACTACTAGCTGAACTGTTTGTGGAAATCTAAAGAAAATAACCTATTATACGCCTACTTATGATCTACTAACGAGAGTGTAGTTGATAATATAACTGTAAACAATTCTGACTGCAAAGAAATGCGAGTGCAATCTGTTCCTGTGAGACCTAATGTTATTATGATTAACTTAAGGATCTGGTTTGCATTTGCTATAATAGAGTCGTCTTTTTCTATTAAATTATGAAAAGTAATCAACGATTTCGTATTTTACTTCTGCAATTTTCTAATAAACTGAAAGAAAATATTTAAATACCAACAAAACTGTGAAATTTCTGACAATGAAAACAGTGACGGCTTTCAATTATGTCTACGCGATAGAAAGAATATAGGACGTCGTTACAATAATAGAACCAAACTTTTTAATTGAATAATAATGAACCATTTCTTTCACAACGATGAATTGCCATTTGAATTACGACAATGGTCCATTATTAAGCGCGTCCAGATTCATCCAATTACGCCAATTACATCTCCGTGTAACTACGTGTACTCACACGAGTACGTCGTACATATATTATTTCCTCGTCCATTGTGCCGTATCTGCACAAATTAACTAACCTAACTCATCTTTGGCTATGCAACTATCGATATTCAACTTTATCGATAAAATTACAAATTTCTAATTACCCACACCATTTTGATAAGTAAGATTTTTTTATATTATTATTGTACTAGCTTTCCGTCAGCGGCTTCGCCCGCGTGCTCTTGTATTATACATAAAAACCTTTCTTTTGAATCACCCTATCCATGAAAAAGTCCATTGCGTAGTTTTAAAGATTTAAGTATACATAGGAAAATAGGGACAGAGAAAGCGATGTATTCTTTAGCTAAATAAACATGAATAATAATTATTTGTTCGTATTCTTTTTCATCTACCGGATGGAAACAGCTTGTATTAATATATTTGTCAAATTTAGAATCAATGGCAAATACATGTTAAATACTTTTGTAGCTGATTTGCTTTGGACTAGTTATATCTGCATTTTAATAATTCGTTAAAATTGTTTGTATGTTGATTGTGTATTATTTTGTTTTGCCGTATTCATTATTGTAGTGGAAAGCGACGTTATTCCCATCAGGTTTTTTTCAAATTGACCTTTTTTTTACTAATATTATAAAGAAGAAATATTTGTTAATTTGTATTGAATAAGCTCCGAATCTACAGGAGCGATTTTATAAATTCTTCCACCTACGGGAAGCTACGTCATACATGAGGGGCAATGACTATAATTTACGCGTAGGAAGTCTCGAGAAAACAGCTAGTATGAATAAAACTGTCACAAAAAAAGGCTTCGTTAAGTTCCTTACAATAATTACAATGAGATGGTACATTTTTTCGGTTTTCACAAGTGCTTAAGAACAGCTTGAACCCAATAAATAATACTCAATCCGCACTTGAACCTTATAAGTTGATTATGATGAGATTGTCATAGTGAATCTAGCTGAACCTAAACTATGTAACATATTATATACCTATGAATACAATAAAGATATTGAGTATTAAAAACTATAACGTGGACTCTTTGATATCGATACTGTTTGTTGCTCCAGCAGCACATCACTGCGCGCGTCCGGACTCTGTGAACGCGGTCTGAAAGCGATCGCGGCGGGTGTCTATAGCCGGCCACTAATAAATAATTTAAATAAATTGACGGACGAGATTTACTCATTGGTCGTTTCCGTCTCTCAATTACGTTTTATTTATCACTTACTACGCGACAACTAAACCGCTTCGCGCCGATTATTTCGTTATACATACCCTACATTTTGTCACATTGTGTCTCAGTACTTTCTCAATAAACCATTTACTTATCTGAAATCAAATAATTTAGAAAACGGATAATAGTAATTACTTATACAAACCGTAGGTGATATTTTGCAAAAATGATATTCTTGGTGTGTGTGTAAATGATCATATTATAAGAAAAATGTTACTAGATTTTGTTTAGAAGATTATCGATTAAAAAGTTAGTTATCAATCAATACTCCATTAATCATGCCGCAACATTATATCATCTCTTTTTGTTCTATCAATCCCAGTCTGTTTTCCTGTGTAGCCGTGGGCCCCTCGAACTAAATATCCGGGATATTAATCATTGCGCTTATAGTAAGGATAAATGACTCAATAAGCGTTCGCCGCCAACGCTATTGACTTTTCCGGTCAGAAAATCTAAATGAATTTTGAACTTATCGTTATTTTTATAACTTATGTCAACTATTGATTGAAATAAATTAGGTACTTTTGTATTAAGAACAGTCTCATTAGCTGACCCAACAGTTATTGTCATCAGATCATAAGTTCATATCATTAGCTGTCAGTTTTTGCTTGTGGTATATATGTTGCCAGTAATATTAAAAATTGTTAAGACGGATAATACAAATAAGTTGTATTAAAATAATATAGGTAAAGTGGGTTAGCGGGTATATTTATTTTTTTATACAAAGCTTATTTTTTTTTTTGAAAACGCAGTTTAAGCAACCTCTCCTTCGCACCTCTCTCGACATGACGCTCAAGTGTTCTAACATACCAATCTGAATCACATTTCTTTAATTTCTTATGTTGGTTTCTATTATACAGAGGTTTAAACAGAAAGGACCCCTTCTGCCCCCACATGACTAGTTAGACAAAGTCAAAATATTTTATTTGCGCGATATGTTATATAAATATATATTAGCAATTTAGTTATTTTTTGCTTTACTGCTGCTCTAATCAATCTGTTACATATCTATTAAGTACCTACGTAGATAATATTCTTTACTCTACACTTAATATATAAACATAATAAAAACAATAGAAGTATACTTTCAACCAGGTTTCGCAAAAAGCCGATATTTATAATAAATATCAAAATATCAGATATATGATATTTATCCGATAAATATCATGCATATGAAAAGCTGCGGTCTTTGATTTGCTAGTGGCAAATCTAAGATCGCAGCAATTTTAATAAAGAAATAATTAAAAAGTAGTATGCGAGCGAGGATTTCCAGTAACGTATGGGGGAAAATCCGAAATTTATAGTAAATAAGATTGCTACTTCAGGCCAATGTTGCTAGCGTCACATAGAGTTGGTTAATTTTCTAGCTGAGATTAAATACTCAGTACTAAAACTAACAACAAATATTATAAATATCAATTGATATATATCGATGTATATATCAATCGATATATATCCGTTGATATTTATCAGCGAACTCTGCTCTCAACTGACGTTGATAAAAAAAAATAGATTTAAATATCGACATGTATGTAAGTTAATATCGATAGCGTTAGTCTTTCCACAATCAAACTTTCGACAGCGCCACACTAATCTTTCAATATAAATAAACGACTTTCAATTTGTTCTCGGGCACCAGACAGGCTCATTGACACGAGACAATATACAGCCGAAACCAATTGGAGGAATCGAAATTCTCTGAAACGGATCAAACGTCGCATACGTCAGACAGAAGTTACATGCAACGCACGATGTCGCGACACACGCTGACGTATAGACCGTGTTTACACGCAGCGTACGTACAAACGAGACCGTATCACTGTCAACTAGAGACTTATGTAGGTTTTCATTGCGACAAGTTATAGCGATCTTCCATTTCTTAGTTGTACGTACGTTTTGAATATTTTAAACGCATTATCCAAGTTTTGTTTGTGTTGCTTGTTAGTTTACTGTTGATGGGTATACCATACAAGAGTTGATACGTTTCTAAATAATTGTGACTTTGTTTCTATTGGTTATTACAATCTGTAGATATTTAAATGTTGACTTCGATAAAAAGTCGGTAGTCGGCAGTAACTTTTAAGAAAACACATTTCAAATTAGATCTATTTGTATCCAATAAAACTAAATACAAAAGTAGGTTAATTAATCATCCAATCTTATAGATCCCATCTAGATTCTAGACGTTGACGAACACTCAAGAAAAATTTTCTATACGCAGTTGCTGTGCTAAGAGAGACGTTTTTGTGACACTTAATTTTCTCGTTAAATTAGACGCTAGTAAAGAATCTGATCACAAATGACAATGTTAAACCCTAAACTAGTCTTTTTGCTCCTTTTGATAGCTTAATCGAAATCGTAATGGCACCAATGTCGGAAATCATGCAGGGAAATTGAAGTCACGACATCAAGTTACCGACCACTATCTATAGGTAATGTGGTTAATGACCGATAGAAATGGACTAACAATTTTAAATGGGAGTTGTAGCATCGTTTTCTTGCTACACTTCTTTTTTTAGGGTTCCGTACCGAAAATATCTTAACATATGTCATGACCTCGACTATCTATTACAGGTTTGTATCTTTTGAATCTTAATAGGTTGACAATTGAAATCGTCACAGAATACGTATCACTGTTGCCCCTATCACGACTTACTATGATAAAAAGTTATATAATGTAATAAACATTTGTCAGTCTATTTTAGCGCTTTATCTTTTAAACCTTTATAGATAATTCTTTTATAACACGTGTCATTATGACTGTTATCCTTAAATGACAGAATAATTTGTTAATCACAATGATACATATAATAAAAATACTTAATATGTCACCAACTACAGTGTAGCTATCGCCTTATTAACAGCTACCCAAACTGAGACAACTTGTTTCTCAGACAGCGGCTCTCTAGCACTGTATGAAATTATTCTACAATTACCAAAAAAAAATTGGTATACTACAACAAACCTATAACCACAACATTAAATGATATAAGGTAGCAAATCACTATAATTAATCCCATAAAGTAACCTTGAAATTGCATTTGTGTGTGCTTCTGTCTTCTAAACTATACCTATAAA